GGCGGCCCCGACAGCGGTGGCGGAGAAGAACGGCGCTTCCTCGTTGCCGGCAATTCACTTCCGGGCCCAGGGTCGCGCTTCCGGTCCGCTGGAAAACCGTCCGCCGGCGGCTTTGTCTGGTAACACTCAGTGCCCCGGTGCGGGCCGGGCAAGACCGCTTTCTTGTTGCTCCCGAGTCTCTGGGAGCGGGCAGTTGCTTGAAAGGAGGACTTATTTCCGCTTTAGGAATCCCGGGAGGCGCGGGATGTTAGCCTAATCTCTCCCCCATTTCCATCCCCTCTTTTCTCTCTGCATCCCTTTGCCTTTTTGGTTGAGAAAAGGCTTGGTTGTTACTTGGCTGGGTTAGCGCATTTCTACATTGAACCATACCCTCGGCCAGTGTTTCTCAAACTTGGCAACTTTAAGGTGGGTGGACCTCAACTCCCAGAATCACCCAGCCTGCATGGGTGGTCTTCAAATCCCAGCATAGTGGCTGGGGGATTCTGGGCGTTGAAGTCCACACATCTTAAAATTGCCAAGTTTGAAAAACATTGCACCAGGCAATGGGCTGGATTCATACCACATGCTAATTTGCCAAAAAACCCAAAACATCCCCTAGTTAGAGATTAACAAAGTTTAGCATTTTCTGAGACTGCATCTGCTAACCTCGTACCTGACACGGGTCGCTGTGGCCTCTTTACATTTGCATTTCTGTTCATGCTTCGTTGAGGAATAAGATTATGGATGGTTAATTGAACACCATTTTCTGGGGCCATCCAACACAGTGAACAAGTGGTTGGCTAGTTGTTGCTTCAGAATGCTATTGAACACAGACATTGGAATGTATTTTGTAAGTGAATCTGCACTGGGTTGAGCTATAAATTCCACACCGTGAATCTCTAAGTGCTTTTTTTAGGCTGCAAATGCTCCCAAGTAAAAATGCAGATAATCTTAATTAATCTTGTTACGTGCTTTTTCTTTCAGTGGTTAACAGGTCAAGCCTTTGCTTAAAAGGGATGAAGGAAGGAGAATAAAGAGAGGTCAGAGACAACTGCCCCATGCGATTGATTCTAGAGGTTTATTTTTAAACAATACAGACTGTATTTTAATCAACAATATATTCCTTTGGTTGTTTACCTTGAAAGGTAAGATATAAATTACTGTAATAAATGTTCTGTTCTCTGTAAGATAGCACAAGACTCGGGGTTTTTTTCTTCCCCCTGCAACAGACTACTGTAGCTATTCCAATCACTAATGAGCTTCCCTGGCTCTTCAGTTAGTGGAAAATAGCATTGCTGCGAAGTACAATGGATATAGAGAACAGACTGCAGTAACCTCATTTGTACAGTGTGAGTTTTGACAGCAGTGGTGGGGATTGTGCATTTTAGTATGGGGTGCAAACTAAACTTCTTACTTGATGGTGCAAAACCAGAAAACAGACTAATTCAATAACCAAATTAAGTGTATTTTGCAAAGTTAGCCTCTACGCGATGGGGAAAATGAAGGTTTTCACACAGCAGTTCTTGGAATGAAGAGTGACATTTGTGAGATGGGCGGCCATATAAATTTGATACATAAATAAATGGACACCCCCCTTTTTTTAAATCTGTGAAGACATTGAAGGCTGTGGCTGTTTCCCATGACATGCATACCTATGACTACACAATGTTTTACTGAAGGAACCTAACTGACTGAGTTCATGTAGGCTAAAATGTAGTTAAGTCACTTATCCATGTGATATAGGAACACATCCTATTTTGAAGGCGGCCTTCTCCTTAAGGGCCTTTAGATGTATGGAATACATATATATTTACAAAAGTGTATGCCAGCCCCTCCCAAAGGGCTCTCAGATTATACTATAAATAGAGGACTAGTAAAAATATTTTAAAATTAGGAGAATCGAAATCCAGCTGCCTTATTGTGAATTATCTTGAAAATCTAGGCAAGCACTTAGGACAGTGTTTTTCAACCTTGGCAGCTTTAAGATGGGTGGACTTCAACTCCCAGAATTCCCCAGCCAGCCATGGGGATTCCCCAGGCATTCTGGGAGTTGAAGTCCACCCATCTTAAGGCGCCCAAGGTTGAAAAACATTGACTTAGGACGACTTCTGCACTGCAGGCAGGAAAACGACACGGCTTCCTTCATTCAAGGTCCAGCTGTTGCCCTCAAAGCCCTGCCCATCCCTGCAGAAAATGACGTCATTGGCCCCGCCCACGCCGGGGAGACTCCGGGAACCCCAGAAGCGCTGCAGGGAGTCGCCCGAGGCCGCTGTTTTGGGGCGGATAGGCGAGGATGCTCTCCTTACGCTCTGTACACGCCCAGAGGCATTTGATGAGAAAGAATAAGGCGACGGCTCCGCTCCTTCACCTCCCGCCCACGTGGGCGACTCGCCCCCTTTTGCCCATTCCTAACCCAAGATGGCCGCCACGGCCCGCGGTAGCCGCGACGCCAAAGCACCTGCCCCTCTCAAAGATGGCCGCCACGCGCAGGGAAACCCTCCCGGTTCCAACAGGAAAGATGGCGCCTTCCGCCTCGCCGCCCAGGGGTCGGAAGTGGGTCGGTAGGTCAGGGAGGCCCGGATGTAGGCTGGCGCTGCTCTCTCTGGGTAGGAGGCGCTGGTTGCCCGGATGTTCCTGTTGCGGCGGCGGCGGCCGTGGTTGGGTTGCAACCGGGGGGCGCGGAGCGGATGGGCCCAGCATGGCTGCCCCGGCGGCCCTGAGGAGAAAGTGAGAGCGGGCGAGGGAGGGAGAGCGACGGCCGGCCGGCCCCTAGCGGGCAGAGAGTGGGAGGAGCCTGAGGCCTAATTTGGGAGGGGGCGACTGAGGAGGGGAGGGGACG